CCAAAGCTACCTTCTCTTTTATTTGGTACAAAAGGTGGGTCGAATGACAAGTTTCAAAATGTATCAGAAAGTAGTCTGGTATATAAGCCCAAGTCAGAGCTCATTGATGGGCTTTTCGTTCCACCTAACGATCCCAAAAAGGTAAACAAATTACTGAAGAAGCAAGTCAAAGACACAACGGGAAAGAATTGGTATGTTCACATTCTTAATGAAATACTTTGTACTCAAATCATATATCCAAGTTTTTTCTGGGATTCAGCTGAAGTTGACTTGAGCATGTTTGAAATGTGTGTAGGTTTGATATGCCTGCTCCTACACTCACGCCTGAGTTGAAAAAAGATCTCAAGCTGCTGAAGGTGTCTTCACTTCTCATCATTCATGGGAATATTTTCCATTGTTGATTCTTATTAGATATATTATATTAAAAAAAAACTGTCCTTGGCCATTGTTGTAACCTGTAGGCTTAGTTCCAGGACTTCTTGGTCCCTCATTCTAACTCCATAAAAAAGTGGCTTGCACATCTTTAGAGGGGTTTAGTGGGCATCTCATACATATATCATCATTATGACGATAACCCACCAACCTAACCAAAAATTCACCCTAACTCACACGTCTTACCCCTCTCTTGCTTAGATAGTCCAGTATTGACACAGTCAAACCATGAACATGACTCACGAAGCTATGAACACAGTCAAGCCATTAGGTTTGTCAGATAGGGTCCAGGTTGATGGGTTGAAGACCAACAGCTTTGATGATGCATTGTTAAGAAATGAAAAGCGAGAGCTTGTCTGCCAGCATATTGCTGAGCTCACTACCTAATTTCTATGCAACCCAATCCCTCTTGCTCCATTGACCCCATTTCTCCCCAGTTACATGCCTCTTTCCCCCCTCCATCCATCCACAATGCTTCTTGGCCAATTGGATGTGTCTGGTTTGCTATAGACAGATCACAAATCATTAGTGTTATACTTATTATCTTAGCTGGTATAGTCAGTAATGTTTAAGTTGTTTGCTTCTGCTTCAATGTGAATGTAGTCTTTTTCTCTTAGAGTTTTGGAGAAGGCTGTGTTCGTTGTCACCTATTCTGTTGTTTCTTTCAACAGGTTGTCTAGTAAAGACTTCCGTTTTCTGTCTTTTCAGTAAGCTACTACAGCAACTTTTATATTTGAAATCCATAAACTAAAAATTGCTTAATGAGAAAGGAAAGTATTGAGCGTTCTGCTAAAGGAAAAGATTGTTATGAACTTAAAATAGAATTTTTCTATCATATATATAGGAAAAGCCTAATATGAACTCCTCAAAAGTCCATGTTGTATTTGTTGGGCTTGGGCTTCACTTTGCAATGTTTATATTGTCACACAGGTTTACGGGCTTCTAATTTTTGAACCACTAAAGCTTAAGCATGAACGGAATTTGTATGATTTCCTGTGGAGGTGTCAAAAGAGAAGGTGGTTATAGAGAAGGGAAAGACGGTGAAACGAATAGCTGCAGGATGAGAAAAACAGGAAAAAAAGATTTAAGATTTATCAATAGCATTAAATATCTGCAGCATGCTTAGAATTCAGTACCTAAATTTGTTGAATTGACTTTTTGCCTCGAGAAAAAATCCGGGTGCATGTTATATGATAATTTTTGACAGATTTTGGTTATGGAGTTGGAATGAGCAACGGCTTTGTTAAGCAATTTTTAAGGTTGTAGTGGTTCTTGTTCTAGATCATACTTGACAATTGGTCTTAACCATGATTTCTTGTCTGCATAGCTGCATCTTTAATTTCCGTTATGGCACACAATTATTCATTAGCGTTTGAGTTTCTTGATATTACACTATAATGGCTGACGTATGATGGTTGTCGATTATGGATGGATCCTTACAGACTTTGATGGTGTCTACTTTGTGTCTTTCCTCCTAGAAAGATATAAAATCATTTCACTTCGTAACAATTCTTGATGTTTGCAGTTGCGAAACGTGATTGATCCAAAGAGGCATTATAAGAAGGGTGACTCCAAATTAAACATATTCCCAAAATATTTCCAGGTAGGTTCATCATTTCACTTTGTAACATTCTTTTTCTCGAATGCGCTCTATTTTTTTATTTATAATTTTTTGGACTCAAGCTTCTCCATTCTTTTCAACTTTACTCTTTGGAGTGGAGATGTCTGCCTACATCCCTCCCCGATACCTGACTTTTTAGTGGGACATACTGAGTGTGTTTGGTTTGTCAGCTTTCTTGAGTTCGAGGTAGATTAACGAGAGTATTTGAAATTGTTAGGTTGGAACGGTTGTGGAGCCAGTATCAGAGTATTTCACCAGTAGACTTACAAAGAAAGAAAGGAAACCAACTCTTGCTGATGAGCTATTATCTGATCAGTCACTCAAGGTTTACAGGTGAGAGTAACGCCATGTTTGGCAACCTTGCTTGCTTATTTTTTGAGTTTATTGAAAAAGCTCCGTTTCGTTAGCCATAAGCTAGCTTTTTGAAAATCCACTTCAAGTAACGTTTGAAGAAGCTCCAAAGTATTTTTTCCACTTCTTTTTCCCAGTTATTCTCCTTATGTTTTTCCAAGTAATTTTTAAACATGTCCCTTTAGATTATTTTACATTGTCATCTAGCTTTATCAAGCTAGTTTTTACCAAACATGATTCGTTTATCAACCAAAATCATTAACTTATTGGCCAATAGCTAGCTAATTTTTACCGAACATAACCCAAATGCGGAGGTTAATTAGGACCGTTTACTAAACACTTACCTTGGTAAGCACTTAGGGGTTCAATTACCTTATAGGGTGAACATAACAAGGACCGAAAATCTTACCCGTGAGGGTGCTGACTCTTACCTGGTAAATGCTTACCGGGTTATAATTGCTTATTTTGATTGCAAGAAATGTTACCCCATAAGGTGAGCAAGAGTGGTGACTCTTGCCAGTAAGCGCTTACCCAATAAGCATTTGGTAAACGGCCCCTAAGTCTGTGAGGCTTTCATAGTTGCTTGCTTTTTGCAAAAGGGTATGACTCCACCCCACCACTGGTCCTATGACTATCATCGGAGGTAAGTCGTATGTCCCAGGGGGAGGCAAACCCAACCTCCCTCTCATTCTGCAAGGATGCCCACCAACTTGTTTTTGATATATATATATATATACACATATATATGATATGCTTGTTGTTTTAGGAAGCGGAAGGTCCGAGAGATTGAAGAGAAAAACCAGCCAGGCGGGGTTGATAAATGGAAGATCAAAGGTAAAAGCTCGTGGAAACGTGCAAAGCAAAGGAGGCATTGAGTTGTGGAATTTGAAGTCATGTAGCCAGATTACAGAAGTCCTGTTTAATTCCTCAAAGTTTTGATCACATTTTTATGGAATTTTGTCAAAAGTTGTTGGATTAGATGATGTTGTATCCTAAGTTTTGATTTGTTTTGAAAGGGTGCAATGCAAGAGATGAATTTTTTTTTGGATCAATTATTAGGTGTTTACACCGGCTTGTATTTATCTCAACTGATAATCAAGTTAAATGAAGAGTAAGGTGTCGTTTACTAAACACTTACCGGGTCAATTATCTTATCAGTGAGCATAAGAATGACCGAGAATCTTACCAAGTAAGAGGGAAGATAATGATTGATTGAGAGTGTTACCTGGTGAGGGTGGTGATTCTTATGCGGTAAATGCTTATTGGGTGGTAAACATTTACCATCAATCTATTTTGATGACCAGGAATGTTACTCGATAAGGTAAGTGAGGATTGTGACGCTTGCCAATAACCGCTTACCTTGTAAGTGCTAGATAAACGGCCCCAAAATGTAAAAGCATTAAGGGGTTGTTTATCGAGCACTTATCCAATACTTGCTTACGAGGTATCATTTACCTTACAAGATAAACATAGACAACAATCCATTTTAATGGCAAAAAATATTACCCCATAAAACTAAAGGGTCTTTGGCCTAGTGGTATCGTAGCTCTTGGCTTTCTAGGAGGTCAGGGGTTCAAACCTCACCATAGGTGAGGAGGGTGTGTGAGTTTATTTGTTGCATTTGCCGTATATAAATATTATATACTTCAAAAAAAAAAAATATTACCCCATAAAGTAAGCAAGGTTGGAACTTTTGTTGGTAAGCGATTACCCGATAAGTCTTTGGTAAATTGTCCCTAATTTAAGATTTAAGGGTAAACAATTTAGCATTCTTAATACATTTCTATATTTTTTGAAACTATATGTCTGATTGAGAAAAAGTCTATCTACATCTTCATATTTAGACGTTATTTTTAAGTGAGATATAATGGTTTGTATGCTCTAATAAAAAAATTTATTTCTCTTTTTTTTATATAAAAACAAGCTATACACATTTTGTTAATTACGCAAGTTAGATGGATTCGATTTGAGCTCAAATATATTTTTAATGTTCGATCTGGAGCTCGATGCCAATTTAACAATTTTGAGTTACACATTATGACCTTAAATTTTCAATATTTATAATACTCTAACTCAAAATCAATTTACTCACTTGTTGACTCGAGCTCGATAATTTTTTTATTTTACTTGTATAATTTATGAACATGAAAATATGTACCACTTAAAAAATTAATCAAACGAGCCAAGTCGAATATTGATATCTTGAAACTCAACTCGTTAAGTTAAATGATCTTATTGCTTGAAATTATGAGCCCGAGCTTGAAATTCTCAAACTCAAACTCGAATGGCTCATTAAATTACTCAAAAAAGTATGTGTTTTTTGTATGATTATGTGGATCTTTTGTGCTCAATATGTGAACTTTTGCTAGTTGGGGGATTATTTAGTAAATTTAAAAAAAAAAACTTTATGCAGAAAGTCAGTTTTTTTTCTCAAAATAAAAAAAAAAACACTCTTCTCCCATGTATGAAAAAAAAGACCACATAGTATACTGACAGATTAATTTATACAGACAAAACTGTCTCTCAAAACTAGAAAAAACACTTTCTTCCATATATGAAAAAAAAGACCTCATAATATATACAGTCAACTTACTGGAAAATCAATCAAACCAAATACATGAATGTATTTTAAATCTAATCCGATCCAAATCCCTCCAACTCCAAATCCAAATCCAAATCCAAATCCAAATCCCTCCTACAAATACAAATTCCTCATAAACATTCTTGCAAACCAAACTCATCGTTGGTGGTTTTATGTAATTGTCAAAAATTACATCCTCAACTTTTGAAGTTTTCAGTGTTAATATATTTGTTTTTAAAAATAAAGCTTTGTATTTATAGAAAACCTTGGGTGCACGTTCCTTGGTTCTGCTTTAAAACCCCACCTCCTTCCCTTCTTCTCGATCTAACTTGTCGCCATTTTCTCTCATTCTGCTTCTGCTTCAAGGTACGTTTTTCCTCCCTTTTTCAACCTTCAATCTCCTTCTCTTCTTGCTCTTCAGTTGCATTWGCATCCAAATTATTCAAACCCTAATCCCCAAATCCACCCACAACAACATCATCACCACATACGCTTCCCGTCATTCGCCCTAGGCGATTTTGAGGTCATAACTTTCAAACCCAACTATCGATGCTCCATTAACTTGTTTGGTTGCTGTGATCACGGCCCTACCCTTATTTTATCCGCATTCTACTTTTTAATCTCTCTCTTTTGATTCGATCATCTATTTTTTCTTGCAACTTTTTCCAACGGCCCCTTACTTCTAAGGTTAAAAAGCAACATTTTGACTCTTAAATTGCTATCGTGATACTGCATCCACGTTTTTCTTTTCTTCAAGTTTTGAATTAGGGAACCTTAGTCTTAATCTTGCTTCTAATCCTTAAACCTACTGTAACAGGATAAATGAGTGGTGTTTATTTTTTGATTTTGCAGGGGCAGTATGAGTGGTACGCCTAATAAGAGGGTGCATGAGGATAGTGGAGGTCATTCCTCCCTTTCAAGGTATTCCCATATGCAGGATGATTCTGGAACTTACTCTGGTATGGGGGGCGCAAACTCCAAGCTAACAAATCCACCAGCTCCCAGTGATTATCATGCCACATCCTTTGACATTGGGCAGGATGCCCGCATGCCTAAAGTCCCCCGAACTGAACCTCGGGAAATGGATACTAGAAGATCACCTTATTATCGCTTGCTGCCATCATCCTTGATTAACTCCCAGTCTGATCATGCTGTCAACCCTGAGGACAGGGTTGAATTGAGAGATTCTAGGGACAATAACGTCAGAGATCTCAAAGTTGAGAGCCATGACGTGAAGGCAGAATCAAAAGATCCGTATCAAGGTGCTAAAAGTGATAAAGATGTTAGGTATGTTAACAGAGGGGATGATCATAAAGACACAAAGTATGAGAGAGATACTTATTCAGATTATAGAAACGAGCTGAAAACAGATAAGGATGCCTACAATCCAGTGAGTAGTCACTTAAACTGGAAAGAATCAAAAGAGCACCACAGGGCATGGAAGTATCCTGATACATCTGGTGGAAACTTGGATTCATGGCATGTGTCACGCAGTAATGTGCATGGACAAGTGGAGATTGCAAGAGAAAGCTTGGCCATAGAAGAGAAGGATTACACTGAAGCTCACGAGGCTGTTTGTGAGAACAAGGTTGACGTGAAAGGAGAGGATAGGATCAAAGAGAGAGATAGGAAAAGGAAAGATGGGAAACACCGCGAATGGGGAGAAAATAACAAAGAGAGAACCGAAGGTAGGAATAACTTGCAAGTAGGTAACGTCAATAATGAGATGAAAGATCCAACAAAGGAAGAAAGAGAAACTGAGAAGTGGGAGAAAGAGAGGAAAGATCTATCAAAGGACAAGGATAAACTGAGAGATAAGGAAAAAGATCATACTAAGAGGGACTCGTGGATTGTCAATGAGAAAGAAGGTTTGCAGAATGAGAAGGAAGATGTGGATGTATCATCCAGAGCTCTGGAGCAGGAAAATTTATCATCAGATCAGAGGAAACAGAAAAATACCGATAGCTGGAAGGACTTGGATAAAGAATCTAAAGATAGGAGGATAGAGAGAGATGCTGATATTGAAGGGGAGAGATCTGAAAGACGCAATAAAGGCTTTGATAAAGACTCGGATGACGGGGGCGTGGATGTGGAAGGGAGTGCCGACAGAGAAAGGGAAGTTTTTAATTATGGTGTTCAGCAGCGGAAAAGGATGCTTCGACCTAGGGGTAGTCCACAGGTTGCAAATCGAGATCCCCGCTTTAGATCTCGTCCTCAAGACAATGACGGGTATGCCCATTTAGATAAGTTGGTGGATCAATTATATATAGTAATATTTATAATTAACATGATATTTAATTCTCCGGCCTTGCCAATCCTTAATAGCCTTAATCTTGTTAACATATTAATAACGCCATCTATAGCTAAAGTAACCTACATGGTTTGAAGTCCACATGATCCCTATGATATAATCCTGGAAACTTTCATCTATTGCATTTATTTGCCATTCTTAATCTTCAATTAAAATTCAAGTACTTGTGACATAATCCTGTATAATTTCTGCTCATAATGCAATTGTATGTCTGTCATTTTTAATGTCCCCAAACTGTGAATGATGACTTTGTTTTGATCTTTCTCTTCCCCCTTACGGGTGTGTTTGACATCCAGACATGATAGAACAGGATAGGACAAAACAACTATTCAGCCTTTGGTATGACAAAACTGGACAGAACAAAACAGATAAAATGACTAATTTACCCCTGATGAGTTGTTTATATTTTGATTAATTATGTAATTTATTAAATTATAATAAAATAAATATTTTATATAAAAAAATGTATCATTAGAAAGTTTTTGTCAAGACGATTAAAGTGACACCAAAATAAAAAGGTTTATATAGTAACCAATTTTATTTTATACCTTTTCTATATTTTTTAATTATATTAATCAAAATATAGAAACCGTATAATTTTTTTGAGGACAGTAAAGTGAAAGTTTAAAGAGTATATACCATAAATAAAATTTAAAAAATGAATAAAATGTAAAGAGGAAGGCGTATTTGATGTTCTAGAAGAGAATTAAGTTTTATTTTGAGGTTATATTAGTAAAACATAAGTCTGTTCCAGCTTGTTCCATGGGGTAGGGGTGGAACACGCCTGTTCTACTTTGTTCCACTCTGTTCTAGTCGGTTCCACGTAAAAGTCCTGCTAAACGTGGAACAGTAATCCTTGTTCTGTTCTGTTCCGTCCTGTCCAGTGTACCAAAGGCACCCATATACATACTTTCTATGCATGATTCCAAAGGGGACCGCCTAAAGTCTTAATAGCCCGGTTACTAGTGTGTAGTGGTGACCATGTCACAAGGTTTTCGTTCAATTCTTTCTCAGTTTTATGAAGTGGAATTCTTCTAACTTTGATGCACTCCATCCGTTGTTGGAATTGTGCAATACTACCCTAGATTGTTAAACATACTTGATAACTATTTAATTAGTGCGTCAGATAAATTGTTCTAAATATGCGATAGTATGTCTATTGTAAGAGTTCCCAGAATCTCTCTCTCAAAATGACCGTGAAAATGAGATGGCAGACCCCCTTAACAAGTAACATGATTTTGGATTTCGGTTGAAGCCCCCTGTGTAGGCCATAGAAAATTCTAAAATATACTATCAATGTCACTGAGAGTACAAAAATTGTGGAAGGGATTAAGGGAAATATACAATATGACATTGAGTAAATCTTTATTAAGCTGGCTGTTCGTTGGCTCTTGTAGATTATGTTGAGCTTCAGGTTTTTTCTACACCTGTTTGTCCCTCGAACTTTATTTTCTGAGAGCTTTTTGCAGTTGAGTTAAAAATTGTTTGAGCTTGCATTATAATTACTTCACTTTTGATAACATGCAGGGTTCAACTCCAAACCAGTTGAGTATAGTAGATGTGGCCCAAGTCTGCATATAGTCGTTAAATGATGTTCATTTTTCCGATATGGGGTCTAGTTTCTAACTCCCCCTCCCATTTAGCTTCCCCCTAACGGTCGATGCATTGACATGTCGTGTGTGACAAAAGTTGTGCAAGTGTGCAGTTGAGCGAACATGTCAAATAACATGCTCTAAAATTAGACTCATCAGTTTCGAACCGAAAACTAATCACTGTGAGTGGATGTAGCCCAAGATCATATAAGATTCATCGCATAAGGCGAGATTACTAGTCTCAACAGGACAACATTTTATAACTGATGTGTGACCATCTTCTTTGCACATGCAAATCAATTTGATAGGTCCTTGTTACATACACCTTTGGTTGTTGCTTCTTGGTTCTGGATATTTTCTTCTTCACGTCACTTCAAATTTCTACAAGAAGATTTCTGTTTATGTTGTTTTCTAAGTTAAGACATCTAGTGACACGTCTTCTCTTTTCCAATTTTTGCAGGTCTATAGGTAAGCAAAGTATCTTTATGAACCATTGAACATGGAGTTTTATGCCAGATGGTAGTAACTTGAAGTTATCCATGGTGCAAATATATGTACTTGTTTCAGTTGATGCTTCATTATACTTTGTTTGCTTTGATTGTAGTACTTCTGTTCAGTTTCGGCTGACGTTTGAATTAGTAGGGCTCATGTAGTTGGGAGTTTGGGGTGCAGAACTTTGGTAGATATCTGTGAAACTTAACCTTTTTTATTGGAGTTGTTGAGTTCACATTTCAACTATCGTTAGCTATTGACCTTTCCATATCTATAAGAAAACCTGGTAAAAAGTTTGAAATAGATGAGCCATCATGGGTCACTTGAATGGGGGAATTTATGGTTATTTTCTGGATTTGTGATACCAATTACTTTGTAGACATTGTACAGCATAGTCATTGACCTTTCCATCTATAAGTAAACTCACTAAAATGTTTGAAATAGATGAGCCATCATGGGTCACTCGAATAGGTATTTATCGTTATTTTTTGGATTTTGTGATAATGGTTAATTTGTAGACATTCTATAGCATAGCCTTTATGTTCAAATTCATTTTTGCAAGATTGGCGGACAATGGACATTCAGTTGGGATTAGACTCCCACTTCTTGTCTTGGTTTAATTATTCCTCTATATTTAAGGTCTTGTAGCAAATAATTATGTTTTAATTCGAGTCCCTTTTTTGTCTACATTAGTTTGACCAAATCTTTAGATTGAAAGCAATATATTGTGAAGTGGGTAGCAACTTTAGTTGTAGTTACTAGACACATATTGCTGGGCGAATAAGCCATCCTCCCTGTTAAGCCTGTTAAGACATAAACAAACAACACCTAAATGCGTGCTAAATTAAATTCCCTTATTGATTTGTTATATTTGCGACTTAATCATTTGGAGATCTTCATAAGCTTCTAAAGATGCGACTCCTCGACAAGCCTTTAAATTGTTGTCCATATGCAAACCATATTTGTCTTCTTTGAGTAATCAAGTGGCATAGACCTTTTGATGTTTCATATTTGCTTTACATTCCAAATGTTACTCGATATTGATTACTTTTTTTATGATATACAGTAAGAGTAGTAGTGATCTTGAATTTCAAAACTAAAACAATCATGAACTTTCATTTACTTAAATATGTGATCCTGCTTTATATGATGGAATCATCTCCCTAAATGTGTGAAGGAATATAAGGTCAACATCTTAATCTTGTCAATGACGTATCAACCGTGTTATCATTAAAAGGATATTCTCCATAAATATGAACAATAGCCACTGGTTGATATTTCATCCGTCAACTCTATCCCAATTAGAATCTGAGTAAACTTCTTTATCACAATTTTCATTCCTTTTGAAGTACAACCCAAGACCAAGAACCATTTTTTGGTATCATAGAATTCAATAACCCTGCTTCTATACATTCTTCCCGGGACTCTGCATATGTTGACTAATATACCAACATAAAGTCCATTGAATATTTGATCTCTCTCGCTCTCTATTGGATGGTTTCCCCACTTCGATTTATCTATAGGTTGGAGTCATAGGAGTTTCGTTCATATTTCTCCCAAGCATGTTGATTTCTTTTAGTAAATCTAGAACATACTTTGAGATAAGATCAAACCATCCTTCGACCCGCCTACTTCCATAGTTCCATGCCCATAAAGTATTCGAGTGATCTTAGATCTCAAATTAAGATGCAAGAAGTTACCTGAGCCAAAGATAATATTATCTACATAGACAATGAGTATGGCTAGCTTTTCTTATGCATACAACCTTACAATTGGAGTGTGATCTGCATGGCACTGACTGTAGCCATATCCACAATAGCCTTGGCAAATCTGTCAAACAATCCCGAGGAGACTGTTCCTGCCTTTTAGGCCATACACCGACTTTTTTAGTTTACACGCTTGAAGGTCCTTGTAATTAATACCGTATGATTCAGTGAATCCCTTGGCCACCAATCTAGCTTTGAACCGGTCAAAGTCTGACTTGTATTTGATTGTGAAAATCCACTTATAACCGACAACATGTTTTTCTTGAGGTAGTTAAGTAAGAATCAATTTGTCACTCTTTTTAATAGCACAAAGTTCATCATTAACTGCAACTCTCTAAGTTGGATTTTTTAGATACTCTTGAAAGGTATTTGGAACTGAACTTGATCAAGAGATGAGACAGAAACTCTATATGTACGAATCAATTTCCCATAAACAGCATATTTTTCAGTAGGGTGGTTACTGCATATCCGTACACTCTTTAGTTGAGCAATGGGTAGATAATGATCATCAACAATTGTAGTTACCATAGAATTCTTATATCATTTTCAGGAACATAAGGACCTGGTTTTGTGTCTTGAGATCCTTGTTCTGTGTGTTGTTACTTTATTTCCAATTCGTTTCCTTCGATAGGCATGAAGTTTCTGATTTGGGTTTGAGGTGGACTAGAGGCAGACATAGGCATTAAAGGTTCATAATTTTCAGATGATTGTGTTAAGGGTTCATCATCTTTAGATGATTGCATTGACGGTTCAGGAGGTGATGTGTTTGTGGATTTGTGTGTAGGTTCAGGAGGCGTAAGACTGGTTTGAGAATCCTGAAGTAATTCCCAGAACTAGTTTTTCCTTGACTTTACGAGGCATGCGATGATGAGATACATATCTGTGAATAATGATTCCCTCAAAACTTTTAAGCTACATGAAGTTTGAAAACAGAAATGGATTTAGAAACCTCAAGTGGATGTCTATTTTTCGCCAATGCTACCCCATTTTTTTGAGGGGTATTTACATGAATGATTTCTTGATCGGAGATATAAGAACCAAGAATGGAGTTGAGATATTCTTTTCCATTGTCTATTTTAAGAACCTCAATTTCTTTGGAATTGTGTTTGAATCATGGAGTGGAATTTTTGTATATAGTTGCAGTTTCACAATTTTCTTTTATGAGGAACATCCATATGGCCCCAGTGTGGTTATCTTTGAGGGTGCGTTTGGTGCACTGGACAGGAAACAACAGAAGAGGGATCACTGTTCCATGTTTGGTAGGACTTTTATGTGGAAGATAGTGGAACATGCATGTTCCACCCCCACCCCCACCCCATGGAACAAGGCGGAACAGACCTATATTTTACCAATATAACCTCAAAGTAGAACCTAATTCTCTTCTAAAACATCAAATATGCCTCCCTCTTTGCATTTTGTTCATTCTTTAAATTTTTTTAATTGTATTTTATGCTCTTTAAACTTTCACTTTACTGTTCTCAAAATACTACTTTTATACAGTTTCTATATTTTGACTAATTTATGTAATTTATTAAATATTAATAATAAAATAATAATATAGAAAATGTATAAAATATAAATTGGAAACTGCATAGACTTCTTATTTTGGTGTTATTTTAATTGTCTTGACAAAAACTTTCTGATGATATATTTTGTTATAAAAATATTTATTTGATTATAATTTAATAAATTACATAAATTAATCAAAATATATAAACACCTCATTAGGGGTAAATTGGTCATTTTATATGTTAGGTCTTACCTAACGCTGAACAAGCTGTTCTGTCCTATATTGTCTGGATACCTAATGCAACCTGAAGGATACAACACCAATGTGTATTATGGTAAACAAATAGGAAGGTGAGTTGGAAGACGTGTGTAAACGTGTCGAGTATGCTTTGCAAGTTGACACACTTCACAATGATAAAATTTGGAACTCTTATAGATAGACAAAGTTTGGATGTTCAAGATGTCATAACATGATAAGAGTTTCATTTGAGGTACAACGGATACACAACCTGAAGATAACCTTCCTTGCTCTTAGGACCTTTGAAAATGTAGAGACCACCACACATTTCAATACTGTCAATCACCTTTCCATACTGCTTCCTGAAATTCATGAAGACTAGGGAAGAGTTTTGCCATGCATATAATATTTTATGCATCTGCATATTTGTCTTAATGAGTTCTTTCATTGGTGGGAGTTGGGATGACTTTTGATAAGTAATTGTAGTTGATAGAAGAGGTGAAACAAGCTTGTTTGACATACTTAAAGGCTGTATAACTACGATAGATTGCTTCACATGCCTTAGTAATCATGTTTGAACTAATACTTTTGAACACTGAATGGTGGGCTCACTATGGTAGTTGACATGATTGATGTGTCCTGTTGATGAAGGAGCTGCTTTTTCCCGATTCTGGAAATGCATTCCTTCATTGACCTCTACTGAACTATATATCACTGTCTGTTTCACATTATTGCATTTCTCTTGCAAGTTAAAGGGTTCTCATCTGCAAGTTAATTTCTCTGTGGAATTGTGTAGTTTAAGTCCTACCTATTATAGCATTATCTAGTTCATCCTCGTGCTAATTGCATATGAAATGTATAATGTTTCCAATGCAGGAAAACCGGATGTGTCAACTGTCGTATACAGAGTTGGTGAATGTATGCAAGAATTGATAAAACTATGGAAGGAGTATGAATCATCTGTACCTGATAAAACGCCTGAAAGCTCACAAAGCGGTCCTACTCTTGAAATCCGTATTCCGGCTGAGCATGTTTCTGCTACAAATCGCCAAGTAAGAATATTGTATGGAAGCTATTGTGGAAGAGTTCTCTTTTCTGCTGGATCACCAAAGGAACCCAAAGCACCAAAAGCCACAACTTAGTAAACAATTGTGAGATATCATTTTGTTTTGGCTAAAAAAACAATTAAAATGGCATAAGAGTAAAAAAATTAACTGAAGGATAATCCTAGTTAGCTATCATAACCTACCCAATTTCTTTTGCTGCACAATTTTTACAGTGCTGTTATTTATGGTAGAATGGACTGGTGTGTCTTGAACTATGGACGTTTCTTGCATCACATCTAATATCTAAATGATATTCATCTTAAAAGATAGATGTAAGTTTTTTGAACTTACTAAACTTGATATGTCATTTTAGTGCCTTCACTTATCATGCTTTTGAAATTTTATGATTGAAGTGGGGGAGAGCACACAACATTTACAAGCCATTTATTCCAAAGAAAGTGTTGGATGGTGTTTCATGATTAAATGTAATAACCTGATACTTTGCGAATGTTATGGGAAGTCTTAGGTGACATGACTTAAATAGGTTAGTTTGATGTGTGGGTTTTGCATAGGCTGTCTTTCCTGATGGGAGAGAGGAGGGGTTTAAATGGATCAATAAATCCTAAACTTGGGTGCCTTATGTTGCATGGAAAGGAGGGAGTTTACAATTACTCTTCTAATAAACCATAGCCAGTAGGATAGAATGATGCTATGAAGATGTTCATAGCTGACATGGCAATCATCAAGGATAGCTTAACATGTATTTGGTATTTGATTTCATGGTTATTTTAGATACATTGATAGTTAGGCACTTATTACCTGAAAGCTAACAGCCTTCCTGTATGCATTTAGTATTATTATTTGTTTTTTGTTCTTGTTCTCTTTTCTCAACTCTTTTTAACTCATTGTCTTTCTTTTATTTCATTTCTCCTTCCAAGCCATCAGAATTGTGTCAAACTTCCATTTTCTTTATCATAAAATCTTTTTCCCAAAACCTTTTTACAAGCCAGGGGTCTTTATGGAAACAACCTCTCCACTCCTCGGGATGGAGGCAAGGTCTACATTCATCACACCCTCCTCAGAGCCTACTTTTTGGTTTACCGGGTTTGTTTGGTTTGATGTTCACTTATGTAAATAAACAACATTGATCTGTAGCTTTGAACTTTTATCTTCATTTTTGTCGTTTCTTGCCTGCCTTCTTTAATTCCATGGTCAGGACTTTGTTCATGTGTTATGGTGCAATTCCTGTTTGACGTGTGCAGGTTAAAGGTGGCCAGTTATGGGGCACAGACATATACACTGATGATTCTGATCTTGTTGCCGGTAGGTGATGTGTTCAAAGTCTTCTATTTGTTGTTTTTTGTCACACATGTTAACAAAGGTCTACAACTTCGAAGTTTATGGGCTGATTGTGACTTATGACGTGTTTTCTTGCTCTTATTTCAGTTCTAATGCACACAGGCTACTGTCGCCCAACTGCTTCTCCTCCTCCACCTGCTATTCAGGAGTTACGTGCTACCGTCAGGGTTCTTCCTCCGCAAGATTGTATGTTTACGTGCAACATTATTTATGTTTTATTGTTTGTAAATTTTCTTTGACCCAAATTTCCTAAAAAAGGTTCATTATTCATTATAAAGCTATACATCTATACAATTTCTTCAAGATGGTAATATCATGTCAATGGAAGTAGAGTCTGGATTTGGTATGGTAGTAGGACGGAAAGAGAATTTTTCCTGCACAAAGCTTTTGAAACTGCCTATGGTTTAAGATTACTCGTTATTGCTTGAACCCCCTCCACATTACTTCTTGTTAAAGAATTTGTTACACATTCTGCAAGAATATCATTGTACTGTTGAACTTTTCTGAAGACGATATTCTTCAACAGAATCTTTGCAGCTTCCTTGTATACGCGTAGAGCATGATCATTGAATCATTTACTGAAGGGGAAGTGTTCTAAATAGAGTTATTGGCCAACTTTCTTTATACAAACATATCCAACTTGTCCTGTACTGTATATAGGTGCTCTCCTTGGGGAGGAAAACTTGCCTAATTGTATTCATGTATTGGTTGTATAGATATTTACACTTTATCTGTCTTGTCTAGGTTTATGATGTGTTAAATATGATAATTTATCATTGCATCTATCTGGTGAATCCTTAGGTTATGTTTCTACACTGCGGAACAATGTTCGTTCTCGTGCATGGGGGGCTGCTATTGGTTGCAGTTTTCGTGTAGAGCGATGTTACATCGTCAAGGTACACTTGCTATTTATTGCGACCTTGTTTAATGCATGCTCAAGTTCTGTTTTTTAGGGGAAGTTCACAAAACCCAATGGACTTTCATATTTTGAATGATCAAGTCCTTGGAGAATTTTTTAAACAAATAAAGCCTTGGACATTCTGAAACCTATTAGATACATACATCCTTGTTACCTATAAAAGTGTCCGGTAACCTGCATGACAGGTAAAAGTTGGAAAAGAAAAGAAAAAAGAAAATAAATAAATCCTAAACTACATGCTCAAACCGTAACTTTAACGCCTCTGGCCCATATCGCGCCCCAAATCTATAGCGTCTATAATGCACCATGAAGATAAACCAATTTTAAAAAAACTGTACCCCATAGAAATCTTTGAAGTTCCTTCCCGTTTTCATCTTTAATTGTATGTGAAACCCTTCTTGAATCCCATCTTTTAAGATGGGATTTTTGTTTTGGCAAGAAGATAAAAAGACCAAGAAAGAGTGCTGCTAGTGGTATCTTTTCTGCAACCAACAGATTCAATAACATGCCTCTCAAAAACTTTCTGGAATCCCGTGGATCCTCACTTTTATTTCTTCATCGTCATTCTCACTCCGAAAGAGTGCGCCAAACTCGACCTCACCCTGATCCTTTTTTCCTCATTGCCGTTCTCACCCAGATCTGAGCAAACTTTTCGGACTAAAACCTTCTTCATTGTCGTTCTCATCCATATCTCCTCTCTTTTTTGTTTGATTTTGGGTTTTTATTTAGATTTAAGATTTGATTTAAGGTATTTGAATAAGTCAGATTTATGTTTTGATTTTGGGATTGATATAGGGTTTGTACTGTGTATCACAAACTTTTCAAATGAAATTGCAATAAATTTGTTGGGGTATATTGTTTATGTTCATCATTGTTCATGTGCGAGAAGATGAACATTCAACCAACTAAACAGAGAGAAAAAATCCATTAAAATGGAGGAAAATAACAAAAGGACTGAAACGCCCTCGTAATTGATGAAGATGATTCGTAACAAAATAAATACCACTGCCCACTGGGACCAAATCCATTGAGAACGTAGTTTAAAAAACTCTATTTGTAGTTTTCACTACAACACAGGACAAATCCGTGATTCAATCTTATATAGATGAAAGGATTTATTTGTTCAAAAAAAGGTCCAGTGGCTTACTCGCCCAAACTATGAAAGTCTGTTGGTTTTTTTTTCCAGACTTCTCCCATATTTAACAACATTAACCCGTTTTATAGGTCACGAGGATGTATTTAACAGGTTTCAGGAAGTCCAATGATTTATCTGTTCACAAAATTTTTCCAAGGACTTGGTCACTCAAAATATGAAAGTCTGTTGAATTTTTTCAGACATTTCCCTTTTTTTATCATTCAATAGATGTTCATTTATGTAAATGCAGCAGTGGGTGTATCATCATTTGTTTTAGTACTAGTATGCTAAGTTAACTGGCTTCCTCTGGTGACATAGTTCCTGAATGCAGTTCTAGTAGGAGAGACTGTCGCATGATTAGTTGAGAAATATTGTGATTCATTTTCTTCCAAACTATCTACGGCACATGCAGAAAAGGATGGGTTGTAGTCTGATTGTGAATTCTGTATTTCCAGTAACTGCTTTTCGTTTCTTTTTGTTTTCTTTAATCTCAGAAAGGTGGCGGGACAATTGATCTTGAACCTTGTCTTACACATACATCCACTGTGGAGCCTACTCTTGCTCCTGTGGTTGTGGAACGCACAATGACTACTAGAGCTGCAGCTTCGGTATAACCTTGCCCTGATGAATCATGATGCTATTGAGCATATGCTTATGAAACTTATATATTAATTTTGTAGAATGCGCTTCGTCAACAAAGATTTGTGCGTGAAGTAACATTACAATACAACCTTTGCAATGAACCTTGGTATGCATGTTTAGTTTTAGTTTGTGTTGAACTTGTTAAGGGTGATTGTTTATGGATAGTGTTTTGTTGTTTGAAGGATCAAGTATAGCATAAGTGCGATAGCGGACAAAGGTCTGAAGAAGCCTCAATTTACGTCTGCAAGATTGAAAAAGGGAGAAGTTGTCTACTTGGAAAGCCGTAGACGTAGGTATGAGCTTTGCTACAACGGAGAGAAGATGGTGGAGACAGTAATTGCAAATGGAGGTGGTGGGGATAGCGATGGTAATAGCAATTTGATGGATGTATTCCGATGGTCTGAATGTAAGAAGGCGCTTCCTCAGACAGTGATGCGGTCGATTGGGATCCCGTTGCCACCAGAACATCTACAGGTGTAATCCACGTTCTTCTTTTTTTTCCTTAGCTTTAATGATATTAAGAAAATGAAACTGAAAATGAAAATGATGATGTTATTATAGGTGCTGGAAGAGAATCTTGACTGGGAGGACATCCAATGGTCACAGACAGGTGTTTGGATATCTGGAAAGGAGTATCCTCTTTCCAGGGTCCATTTTCTATCCCCAGTCTAAAGATATCATCACACTTTGATGTTATTATTATTATGTGGTGTTTGTTTGTTTACAAATAAGACTTGCTACTAGTGTTGCTTTCCTTATTTTATTTTTAAACACAAGTCAAGTCACCACCACTTTGTTTTATCTTGTTTACCTACTTCAAATTCCAATTCCAATTATACCTTTAATCATATGTGAATGTGAAGGTGTTTGTTTTAATTTTTAGTAATTATATATATTGTGTAAAGTAAAGAGCTTTGAGAGTTGAGGATATCCAATTTTCATTTTTATCTCAACATAACTAACATGCTACCCTCCTCCTGCTGCTTTGATTGCATTCCCAAATAGGAAACTTTCTCAACTCCAAAAACCCTTTTTTGTTCTTCTCTTGTCATTTACAAGCAAAAATTATAAAGATTCAAGACAAGACACCAAGGAAAGGAAGCTCAACCAAGAAACAATTGAAAGAATAGCTACAGTACGTATGTATGAATATCATATCTATACTAGTAATGATGGATGCCTTTCTTCTTCATGGATTCATGTTGCATTCGCGCATGTATGCCTGATCGTAGTCCACAAACCTGCTCCAGTATCCTCGGAACTTTGCTATCCCAATCTCGAGCCATGGTTTCAAGTTCCCATTGTAATGAATCACAGCTGCCCTTTCAATCTCCTTCTCCTTCACATTTGGGTTATACCCAAGCCCCAGAACATGCCATGATTTCTCCAATGGGAATACTCGCTTGTAAAACGTTATCAACCCAGGTGGTAGTGTCCCTAACTTCCAAAGCTCTCTCTCCTCATTCTGCAAACAAAAAACCAAAAAAATCACACCTTATATTTATATCATCATATGGTTTCATTGTAATGAATCACAACACAAACTACTAACTTACCAAATTTTGCCACCTGTGGTAAATCCCTGTAATGTTTTGCTTCTTCCATTCCTCCAAATCAAATACATTCATTCCATACGCCCATCCACAAGCATGTGGATCGAAATTTTTAGCAATCAAAGGATTTGAGAAATTCAGGTAGCGATCGAACCGATGGAAGCTTTCCCCACAAGTCTCAACAGCGCCATTCACTTTCCCTTTCATATCTAGAGCCCACAGCCCGCTCAAATCCTTTTGAACCACTATGTCATCATCCAAGAACACCACTTTATTAAGCTTTGGAAATATCTCTGGCAGGTAAAACCGAAGATGATTCATAATCGACAAATATTTCGGGTTTCGGAACTTCAAATTTGGATCCAACTCCCCATGATGGCTTTTGAAATAATAATCAATCATCTTCCGAGAAGCCAACTGCTGGAGAACTGGGCTGTAACTCGCGTTCAGCCATGTAAATTCCTCAACATTCTGCACCTCCATAGTAGCATTGCCTGGTGGGTTTGCAAGAAACCACATCCTCATTGCCGCGTAATTAAGCCTGTCCGTCACAATGTGGAACACATGTTTTGAAGAATCCTGAAATATGCTTTCACATTAACCACATAAACCTCAAATCAATAAATATCATTAGAATTAGATTGTCACTGTTAATCAATCACCTTTGCATTGGAAACAGTTGAATTAACGACAACAGCCGTAGCTAACACATTATCTGAAAATAATGCATAGTGGAACAGCTTGGGGTCTTGTAACTTTTCTTCATTTAAGAATTGCTGCGCAGAAGAATTTAAGGAATGGTAATCGGCTGAAAGGCGTAAGGGAAGACAATGGAGACCTTTAGGAACCGTCTTGGCAGTTAAGTGAGTCAAAAACAAGGTTTGTTTTTTGTGGACAATTAGTTGTTCTTCGGTTGAGTGAATAATAGCACGCAATTTTTTCACAACAGCAGTGCAGTCATCTTGTATTTGCTTGCCTTTTGCTAATGTTTGCTCCATTGCCCTCAGTTTGTCAAATGCACTGGATATATCACAAAATAACCCAAAATCAAATCAAATATGAGAATGCAAAAATTCCAATATTTCCAGTCCACGATCCAAATTTTGCTAATGGGAGAGGTATTGGACCAAATTACAGGCTTACTTCTTGTGGAGGTCAGAGTCTTTGGTTGCATCACCAAGTGCTTTTTGGACTTCCTTCATACGTACCCGAAGTTCCCTAATAAAATGAGCATTGGTCCTTGTTGCCGAAAGGGAAAGGTAAACTCTCGCTCTAATCAACTGATCCTTCATTTGCCGAACACGAGCATCAGCTACAACATCAGGTTGGATCCTTTTGGCCTTTGCAGGTTTCTTTTCACCTGATTGCCGCTCTTGTTTTGGTTCCTACAATGATCAGACAGTAAACTTTGACGAATTCAATTAAAATGACTACATTACATGTCAAGTAGATTGCTCATTGAAACCAAAATGCAGTGAGTGAGATAAAAGAATGCTGTTCCATTCTAAATGAACAACTATAATTTGTCTATAAGGAAAACAGATGCAATGCATTCTCAAGTGCGTATGCTTTGTGGCAACCACTAGTAAAGGGCATCCTGCAGCATCATACTCTATCGTGTGTGGTGGATTAACTGAAAACCAGGCCGTGTCCAAATCTTAGAAAATGCTAAAAACATGGAAGCATCAACTTTTGCTTGTACAAAAACAACCGCTCTACTCCCTACTCCTTCAGGTATGGCTCCATCCCACCTCAGGTGGGATATACTCGTGGTTTTAAGAGCCACCAAAAATAGAGAAAAACAAGCCCATAACATTGGCTTGCTAATACACCACTGGATATAAGTCTGTAAACCGAGTATGATTTAATTTACTCCCAAGAACATAGTCTTTAGTCTGCATACAGTTGATACGAAAACCATTATTATTCTATAGAATGGGTTTAGATCTGACATATAATATATATATATATATATATATATATATATATATTAAATATGCAGGTAGCAATGAATTAAAACATGAGTGACAGCACAGAAACAGCTGGAAATAAGATAGCATACCGTTAACAGCGACACCTTCAACTTTTCACTTTTCTTGTGTTCATGAGTTACCTGTCTGATGATGGGGTTGGATCGATTATCATTGCTATTGATGCCATTAGATTCTAGCGAGGTTTCAAAATGTTGGTTAATTTGCAAATTCATAAAAAGAAGAAGAAGGTAAATTAGTGATTGAAGGTGAGTACCTTCGTTAAGCTGTCTAGTTCTCCTGGCTTTTTCAGTTTCGGTAGATTGAGTGGAATTTTCAGAATAAACAATACCCAAAGGTTCTTTGATGGCTGTGGATGACTCCTGTGAATAGAATAGAAATGAGAAATTCTGCAGATTCTGATTCTGAAATTAAGGAGACGTACCTGAGGAAGCAAATTTAATGCCCTAGCATCGGGATTCAGTGTCTGGAAATGAAAGAAAGAGTAAGGATGAAGAAATTAGAAATTGAGAATGAAAAAGGAAAGAGAATGAGTGAGTTACAAGTGATGAGGAGGAGGGGTCCTGTAAGAAATCATCGGCAGCTGCAAGAAGAAGAAAGGCATTCATTAGTCAAAAGAAAAGAGAGATTTGATGATGTGTAGTAAGAAGGGAGAATTTTACACAAGGTAGAGAGTTTGTCGGTGTAAAGAACAATGGGGGCAAGAACCGTCAGAAAAAGAAACGCCAAAACTGGTTTTCTGAGTCTCATCTTCATCTTGAAAAGAAACCCCAATTTGTGTTGTGTTGTGTATATCAAGAAATGGGAATACCCATAAAATTGTATTATACAATTGGGGATTGAATCTATAAAATTAAAAAAAAGAAAAGATCTCAAGTTGGGTACGAGTAGAATAAGGAATTCAGATGAGCAGAAGGAAATCCAGATAACCAGCAGAAGGAATCAGGGAGGAAATGGAGAAGGAGAGGAGAGAGTGAGTCGAATATGAATATGAATATGAAAATGATGGTAGAGTCTGTGTGTGTCGGCGCGGCGACTACAATTACAATGGGTAAAGAATATTAATTTATTTGGTATTATTGAATTCAATAACAACAACAATAACAAACTATGAATGAAAAAAACTCAATTACTTGAACAACATTTCATTTCATGTTTTTTTAATGCACCTACACCTGCACCCTCTCTCTTTTCTTTTCAGTTTTCACTTTTCATCATCCGTCCCTGTGTAACATTAATTAGAACCCACCAACGACCTCTCGTCCCCAAAATTAAACAATAGGGTTTGAGTTGAGTCAAAAGCCCTTTGGTCCATAGCAACCGATTCATTTTTTTTTTAATCCTCTAACGACACGGGAAGACATGAGTTGAGAAGAAGCATCTGAGTTTGGGTTTTGAGTGAATTTTTGAATAAACGATTTGGATGTGAATAATCAACAAATCTGTTTTGGTTTCATTTTCCATCAAGCTTAGCGTTCGTTTGATTTTTGATTTCTATTATTAAATTTAAAAACAATTCATGATTCGTTGTAAATATATAAAAGACGTCTCAACTTAATTATTTATAACCAAGAATCTCAATTTGATTTAGTTTTCAAACTACACTTCACATTTGAAACGTATATAATTTTTTCCAATTAAGTATATATATATATATAATATATAGTATACGTATGATAAGTTTTATGATGACTTAACTAATTATAATTAATATGTAGTTTTATTATCTCACTCTCTTTTAATTAACAATCTCAACTCCTTTTCTTTTCACCAAATCCAAATAAATGAAAAATAATATTACTAAATTTCATCAATCATTAATTCATTCCAACAAAAATACCAAGGAAACCAAGCTAAAATTTCATCAATCATTAGGGACAGTTATGGAAGGATAGTTGAAGTTTAAGATGCTCTTGTTTGTCGTCTTGGGACATTCGTAAACCCCATCATCACACAACTTCTCAATCATAGTTTCATTCTATCCACAGGCTTTAAGGTGAAGTGGGGAACCACGGTTGAGGTGCAAACCGTGATGGATGGTTCCTTTTAAGTAACATAGTACCCTTTTAATGCTTGTCAATGTAGTTGACTTGGCGAGTGCATGAATTGAAATAACTTATTAACCATGAAGTGAAGGATACGTCTGGGCGAGTGAATGCAAGGTATTGTAGAGCACCTACTAGTTAGCGGTAGGGTGTGGGATCAACCCCAAGTGAACCGTTGTTGGGAGATAGAGGGTCGGAAGAGTGTAGAGGGGTGACAACCAGTTTTGCACCATCCATTTTGAACTTGGTCAGCAGGTTTTGTATGTGGTGGTGTTGAGATAGAAACAAACCATCGGAAGTGGGAATAACCTCTATAACAAGGAAGTGATGTAGCATGCCAAGATCTTTAATAGAAAATGCATGTGCCAAAGCATCAATGATCTTTTGAAGAAATGGTGGTTGTTTCCTGTCATGACAATGTCATCCACATAGACTAGAAAATAGCAAGTTAAGTTATCATGGTTATAAATGAACAATGAGGGGTTTGTTTTTTGATTTTTGAAAACCAAGGTTGAGAAGGAATTTTGTAAGTTCCCAAGTACGTGAATGCTTGCTTTAATCCGTAAAGAGATTTGTGAAGCTTGTAAACGTGGTTTGGTAAATCTGGGTTGACATACCCTGGAGGTTGGGTCATGTAAACTTCTTCTTGTAAGTGGCCATGCAAAAATGCGTTGTTAACGTCAAGTTGTCTTAAGGGCCAATGTTTGGGCATGGCAATGGACAATACGGTACGAATAATTACCGGCTTTATAACGAGAGTAAATGTTTCAAAATAATATTTACCATATTGTGGATGAAAACCTTTGGCGACTAGGCGTGCCTTATATTTATCAATTGACCCGTCCGGTTTGCATTTGACAATAAAAGTGCAATACTCTCACCTTGGGTGGATCTTTTTCAAGTCAAAGTATGTGCGGGGATCACATTTTTCAAATTTATTGTCACGATTTTTAAAGTACGAAGAAGAAAACAGTTTGATTGATTGGTAATCAAAATGGCAGGTAGGGTGATCAAAATGGCAATTCAAATCAACTTTTGAATATATAAAATCTATTCTTTAGTGAATTAAAGCACATGACATTGAAAAGCTGGACATGGTTGAAGTTGGTCGTATTAATCAAAGAGAGAGGAGCAACTTGACATTACCGGTTGGTATTATTACGAGTATGTTGTATTCAACACTCTCGTGAATTTGTATTTTGATGATTGTTCGGCTCATGTAGGCACCAAAGATCACAAACGGGAGTCGATTAGATCGGTCACTGCTCAGCCTGATTTTCAGAGGCCTTGAATACCATCAGTTTCTAACGAGAGCTTCAGCAGAGAGAATGTGGAACGCATGTTATTCAATTACTTGCTACATTGTTATGTCAAACACAAAAGGTAAGAAAATGATTTTAGCAGCCAAAGGGTACATGTCAGGTTAACCAACAAATATTTGCATCTATACAATAAAAGCCAGAAAACAAGCATCAGCATTTTCCCCTAAGAATGGTGCCACTTCTACATCTTCTATCTCCTAACATCAGCATACCCTGCGTACGTATAGCTTATCCGGTTAGCAAATTGTGCAACACAGCTTATCACATGACAATCTTAAGCCAAAACCAGACGATGCATGCACTGTATGTAAGCTTTCCATCGTATCAAACTCAACCGAATATAAGGTTATATACCAGTCACATACCTGTTCTTTCAATCAAGCACTATAGCCTTTTTGTTGCTTTCTGTAACATTTTTTAGCTTCTCCAGCTCAGTCAACGCACTTCTCAATGGTTCTTTTACCTTGCTTTTCTTGGCCTGAAATACAACAGAATTTTAAATGCAGCAGCTTCTGGAAAACACATACGTATAAGTTGAGTTCTCTAATTGAGAACAACCCTATAAGAAATTTGTCTTCTTCTGATTAAGAAATTCAATTTTACATTACTCTATTAACCAAATGAATCATATTAGAATACCATGTTTCATTAAAATGGTACAATGTACAACAAAATCATAAAGACAACTTGTGAATTGTGATATACATCAATAGAACTGTTGATGAACATATGATCTTACATTTATACAACTATATCAGTAATTTTCGCTTACTTCACTTTGAGATGAAGAGTATGTAGACAAGGTGCCGCAAAGTAAAGAATGCAGCAGCTTACCTTGGGTAAATGCCACGGGTGGGTTTTTTGTCAAGGGATCAATTTGATGTTTGTTATCCCATTGTACAAGGTGTGCATAAGATCTTATCAGTCACAGAACAATCTATTTCAGCAAGACATTAAGTTATTATTTTTTAAAACAAAATACACTCGCATCTCTAAAGGATTCACAACTTCAGGATTGCAGAGATTCATTGATACCATTGGATCAAAACCACTTGAAAGCAGGATATAAAGTTATGTCATCATATCGAGAAAGCCTATGCCATCCACCAACCCAAACCAGGCAACAGACACACCCCCCCCCCTGGCGGAGTCGGGCAGAAGGAAAAAGATATCCGAACACTACCAAGTTCCAGCATTTTCTCACTGTCTTCATATAAAGCTTGGTATAAGATGGTCTTTTAGCATCCATCATCCATTCTTACAAAGCTTAATTGCAAGTTCAGAGGTGTCAAGTTTTGTCCAATTATTTAGACGGGGCACGTGTTGATCATGAAATTCAGAATAATCCTTCAGGGGACTCAATTTCAGGTTGCCAAGTTTGGGAAGAAAGGCCTGTTTTAGTTATTACAGTTTAGAAGAAAGTCCTAGAGTTGTCCCATTTGGAAGAAAGACTTGTTTGACTTGTCCCAGTTTGCAAGAAAGGCTTGTTCGCGATAACCGAGTGTCAGGGTGTTAAAAGTTCATCAGGAAACTTAATACTTTTTCCTAAAATCTATATATCTCATCTAAGTTCGATTGTATATACCTGCTTCATCCCAATTGGACAGTTCAACATTGTTCATCAGTAACACACTACTGACCATTGCTTGACTAGTCCATGAAAAAAACTTTCTCCAAGCAGATGTTCATATACATAATGAGATTGCACTCTTCTATTTTGTGGAAAAAGAATAACTAAGCAATGTGGTGTCGTTTATACCAACTTCTTCCATTCATTCAATTTTTAAAGCTGCAAATTTGAGGAACCTTAGTAACAAGTGTAGCAAAAACGATGCAACTGCAAACCCACCATAGCAGCAGTTTCTAAAGCCTTTACAGCAAAACATATCATACCTTTAATGATGGCATGAGGCCGAAAGCTTCACCAACCGATTCAATTGCAGTATTTGCAATGACACACATCTGAAACAATTTGAAATTCTCTTTTAGATACCAAGTTGAACATGCAGTATATCATTAAATAAGTTTTGAGGTTTAGATTAATACCTCGCCATCCGAAAGACCTTGATCCTTGAGAGATCTAGATTTGAGTTAAAGATCAGCTGCAATTACTTGCATGAACGAGTAAAACTTTTATATGCACTAAAGATTCACGGGATACGAGGAAAATGGGATGAGAGAAGCCAAGAAACCAGAAGGAAGAATAATAAGAATGGGTCATCATGATGCTCATAAACAAAAAAAGGATACTCCAATACTTGTCTAGCAGAGTGAGGGTTGGTGTAATGATTGCCTCTGTTGGCATACTGCAGTGCCCTGTCAAATGAACTGGGAAAAGATACGACTTTAGCAATGTACCGTGCTTCCATTGATTGCATGCCGTATCATCTCCTACTGAAGACGAAAGCAATTTAACTTATTATTTCTCACCTAGGGATCTTAATTGTTGGATCCTTGGACAGTAGCACCATATGTTCTTGGATTCCTTGTAAGATTTGTGCAGCTTCACAGTCCATCAAACACTTGGCATTCTCAGGAAGCTCTGCTCAATAAATACCAGAGGTTAAGCAAGGATATAACTCAAGCACACACAAACCTAGAACATTATTATTTATTTTTCTCACTGATGTACAGAAAACAGTACATAGTACGTCTCGGTCATCACCAAATAAGAACCTATTACGCAAAGATGCAGCAGCATTAAAAAACAAACACAAATCATATGATCACATTGTAGACCAATCATATGAAGTTTGAAAAATGATTCAACAAGGGGAGACTGGTTATTAGTTTCATGTAAAATTCAAAAATAAAGATGATTTAGATTTTGGAGTAATATTTGATACGCTGTGCATGAATAAGGATTTTTACAACAAGAATAACCAGGCCCATAATAACAATATACATCTTTAAGTTTTTTAAATAAAATGAACATTTGAAGTTGTACTCGAAATCCATTCCCTGACACCCATCCGTTCATATTATTCCCATTATTTATCTGAATCAATGTTCTAAAAATCCCTGCCTATTCATTAAGCAGCCCCACCACTACAATTAGTTAGCGCCATTTAATTGGCTGCATATGAGTTAAGGATACCTCACCATTTCAATTATCAAGTAATTGTTGAATTAGTGTATTTAAAGGGAATCTTTACAATCTTTCCTGAGTAATCACATGAATGGTATGATGAATCTACTAGACATCTAGAAAAGTAACTATATTTAATTCCTACATGTTTACATGATATGAAAATAATTACTCTATATTTTTAAATCAACCGTTTGTTCTTCCGTTTAATCCCCACTTAGGGAATTAAGCACTAAAAGGTCACACAACTGCCTAGATCCCCTTAACGCTTTCTAGAACACTAATCTAAATAGCCAAAACCAACTTCAGAGACTGATTAGAAATCTAAAATCTACAGCAATGTATCTTTGCTTGCTGACTGCTAGCACACTGAATGATGTTATTGCTACTAATAACAATCTATAGGAAACAATGGGGGAAAAAATAAGAAAAGAAAGCAGATCCCCATTCATACAACAATGCATCTTACAGATTGATCCTATAAATCACTAGTAAGTAGTTCACATTCCAACAAAGAATGTCTTCCCCTTTTCAGATACAGATCAATAATCTACAATGTAATGATGATTACAACCCAAGAGGTTCATTTGATCCACCTAAAAAGGATTAATAGTGTCACAGAAGTTACCAATAAGCAGGTGCCAAGCAGAAGTAGTTCTGTATGTCTCACCAGTAAGCTACAAGTCCTTTATACGTGAAAATTTTGAATTGAAGAATAAAAAGAAACAAGGTATGAAATATCAGCTGCACTAAGCTTAGGCAGATAGTTGTGAAAGCCATACAAACAGCTACAGCTAAAGAAGAAGAATGAGCCAAGTAACATACTAACCTTGTTCAACCTTGAGCAAAAGCGGAGGAGGTTCCTTCTTTGCAGATCCTTTACCAGCTTTGCCTCCCTTGTCTCCCTTTCCCCCTTTGCCCAAGAATATCAATTCATGCATAAGAAAGAAGAAATTTGCATAGGTAAAAAATAGCAAAGGACTATTGCTTCTAGAATATAAGCAATAGAATTTTATAGAAACATGAGAAGATAAAGAAAAGTAGTTATACGGCCATACCTTTAGCAAAAGAAGTATCATCCTTCCCATTAGACTTCCCATTTCCATTTGTGTCAAATTTGTCGTCATACAGATCTAGGACATCCACAAACGTAACAAGTTTAGTGAGAAAATTATGAGTTAGTAAAGAGAATGCGTCTTAATTCAAGTCGACAGTTGGTTGATTATATTCTTGTCAGTTATGCTAGTAAATCAATGGGGTTAAACCTTCTGAATCAAACTGAACTTTCCTTCCCTTCAACTTAGCTGAGTTATCATCCTTTCCTTTATAACCTACACAAAAGAATTATAAACGGAAAACAACTTTAAAAAGACAAAAACTAGTAACTCATAATTAAAAAAACTCATAAGAATTATAAACGGAAAACAACTTTAGCAAATAAAGAAATTATTTCAGATCTTGGTTTTAAAAAGCGTGATGCGGTCCGATGCGTTAAGGGTCCCAGAAGCCGATGCGTGATGCTGATGCGCTCGCATCACGCACGTGATGCGCCCGGTATTCAAAAAATATTTATAAATTAATTCTACATATCAATTTCTACCTTAAAAATACTTACCTATCAAAATACTTCATTTATAACATAAATTAGTTAAAAAAGTGGCATTATAATCTTAAAAAGTTCGTTTTCTACTTTTTTGCTGGTTGTCGAGTATCGACAACAACTCACGTCAGTTTTAACTGATATGCGATGCTAGGTCTCTCACAGTGCGACTTCTACTTCTTCACTGTCGGCTTCTTCTATTAGGTCTCTCATAGTCTCACGTTCTATTTTACTTAACTAAGAAGCCCAACTAAAAACTGAAAAAGGGAGCCCAAAAATGCAACATACATGATGCGTTGATGCATAAGTGATGCACGCATCGTGTGATGCGTAGGTGATGCGATCATGGAATCGCAATGCATCAGACCTTTGATGCGTTTTCTTCAGCGCATCACAGCGCATTATGCGCGCATTTTTAAACCAAGTTTCAGATAACAAAAAACAAGAAAGCATTTATGAAGTCTTCTTTTAGATAACAGTCTTTCTGCAGTTTTATAGCACCTGTCAATGTGCTGCACATAAGCCTGTGCAAATAAATATCTTATTCTGATTTTATGGTCGAGTTGCATTAAAGATTTCCAAATTTGTTGAATTTGAGCATATTTTATTGGTATTTAATTTCAAACGTTTTATAGTTTCATGGTGAGATGTTTACATATCTGTGTTTAAGGTCATTGTGTAAAGTTACACATATAAGTAGCATATAGTGAACGATTTTTCACCATCCAAATGTTCTGGAGGGTGCCATGCCTCCCCATAACACCCTAGAGGTTGGCTACCATCACAAATCATTTTAAATGAAAAAACTATGGCTGCACAATATATATTAACCCTCAAAGCTCATTATGAAGTTTCATGAATATCCATCTTGGCTAATATTTAGGAATGGGCCATCATCATAATACAGAACTGGAGTGAGCAATCAGAAGTGACACTTATGAACAACCTCTAAAAACCAAACCAACGGAACCGTGCATATCTCACTTGAAAGTAGGGTGGAGGAGGGTATGATGTACACAGACCTTACCTCAACAACAAGGATAGAGAGGTTGTTTCTATGAAGACCCCCCCCCCCCTTGTGCAAGACACAATGTGTGTGCAAGCAGGTGATAAGATAAGTAATATAACAGGTAAGCAAGAAATATTAATGGTTCAATTGTGTGCAACTGACAATGTAATAAGGTAAAGCATACAAGTAGAACTAACATATTTGGCAACTTAAACATGTAGGTATGACCAGTAAGAAAATCAAGCAAGAAAGCTGTGTCAGGTCCTTTCAAACCCAGCTATTCCACACATGCAGGGGCAAACTCACTTTAAGAGATACGATGGCACGAGCGACTGCTTCGTTCCTCCATCATAGTCTAAAATTTTATAGGGTCTTGAAAGGTGCTACAGTATCATTTTGCTTTGTGCAACCGTGTATATTTTGAAACTACAATGGTGACACAAGTTTCTCTTGGTAGAGCTGGTTTGCATGGCTTTTCTCCCACCCCAGACCTGGGTTCGAATCCTGTTAGCTTTTAGTTCAAGACTTGAACATAGGACCTCACATATGAAAAGCAAAGAACTAACCGATAGACCAATGATTATTTTGTGAAAAATATCCAAACCTTTGTTTCTTATAGTCAAATGGTGCCACCACTTGGAAAAAAATTTCTAGATCCGTATCTGCACACAAGGATCCTATTTGCCTACTCTCTACCCTCCACTCAATACCCTCTACCAGATCCTACTAAATACCAGCCACTCTAGTCCTATGCCTAGAAGAAATTGTATAATAAACAACCTCTAGCATCTAAAACTAATCTTAAAGCCACTTTAGATATGAAAATAAGAAGGAGGCGCTTAATTGTTCTTAAAACTACATCAACCAATTAGAGGTAAGGTAAGAAATAATTGAACAGAAAGGAGCCCAATGGGGGTAGATTGCAAAAAGAGAAGCCTCCAACGACGTACAAGGCTATGTTGTGTAGAAGAAGAATACAAGGGTTTTGTGTGACGAAGCGAATGTAAGAATGCAAGCACATGCAAGGAGATGGGATATGACAGATAAAGAAATCAGCTTGCTGATATAACGAGAGAATGAGCCGTTTAGTTGATTAAGCAAACTGGTTTATGTGCAGTAAAACGCAAAATCACAGAAATGGAAGCACAAACATATTAGGGTTTTACCTGGTGACTTCAAAGCAGATTTCCCCCCTTTTCCTCCTTTATCAGACATTATCTGGTGCTACAGAAACAAAGAGACAGAGAAATAGGAGATGATAAACAGCATTAGAGGGAGGTGTGAAACGAGAGTCGGTGGTTGTTAACAAAAATCAAAATAAAAGATTTCCCTTTTCAGAGACGAAATGGGAGATGCATTAAATGAATTGAAGAGTATTGATGTTACCTTGGGAAGGGAAGGGAAGAAAAGGGTTTGAAGCTGAGTGAGCAGCAGTAGCTTCGACCTCCACCTTTCTGATTCTACGCCTTTGCCCAGGGCCAGGGGGTAGGGGAAGGGAATGGGAATTATATTTGTATTTGTTAATCAAAAGAAAAAAAAAGGAAAGGGGAATTAAGTTTATATTTCATTATCAAAAGGAAAAAAGTCCAAATAAATTTGTTATTTATACTACATATATAAGCATTTAAGACAAAGTCTTAATTACAAGTCTTGAAGCCTAAAGTACTACCATTTTATGCAACAATTTCAAAAATCTCTTAATTACAAATTCTTATGCATAATGTACAAGCTTTTTATGCATCTGCTTTCCAAAGACCAAAAATTGCCTATGTTGGGCCGGTTTCTTCTCTAGGTTTCTTCCTCTTCTATCTCCTASCTYTGCTATCACCCAAGACCAAAACTTTTCTTCTCTTCTGTATCATTTCTCWGCACYAGCAACATTTTGGGTTAGAAAGCAGAGGTCTTTCTTCTTCACAGACCTYGTTTGGCGTAACAATGGTGTTCTGGATGTATCACCTCGATCAGAGAACCGATTTCATGTATCAAAGGGATTTGATGTATCAAAACCTCATTGATACAAATAGCTCYCTCCTCCCTGTTGATTTAATTTCACAGGTTCTTCAAAACCCTAGAATTTGGAGGGGTAGTTGGGCTTTGTTTGTAGAAGCAGAAGAGAAAAAGTCGAAATCGAGGAGCAGCAGCAAGATAGATCAACACAGTAGCAACGATTTGGAGTTTTGGTTTGTGATTAGTTTAAACCCCCATTGACTTCTGATTTGGGGTTTTGATTTCTATCACCGATTTTCTGTTTCTTCTCAAGATCTATGTTTGATTTTTGGGTTTGTATGTGTTATAGTAATCCGTTGGGGAGTTGTATAAACTAGATGGAACCAAGAAGATGATTTGAACCGAAAATTTGTTTAGTTTTCAGATCTGCACATCGTTTTTGTGTTTAATCTTAGGTTTTCTAATCTGAATAGGTTTTCCCACAAATTTGTTCATTCTTGTTTTTTATTTTGCAGTTGGGTTTTACGATGGTGGCAGGTGGGGGAGATGAAAAAGAGAAAAGGGGGAGGTTAGTGGTCGGTGGTGAAGAAATCATCGGAGAAGATGCGTTACTGGGGTGGGTTCACCGGCACTGTACTCCTTGGCTCTGATTCAGTTCAACGGCAGCGGTGGTCTGAAGAACGACAAGGACCTTCGTGCGGAGTTGCTCTCTGTGCCAGAGCTCTGCCCAAACGACTCTCCTCTTCCCAACACAACTCTGCCCAACCTCCGGCTCTCTTTATCGCACGCTCTCCACGATTACACTGCAACCGATTATCTTTATCGCATGCTGCCGATTCTCCCTAAGCAATGTCTGCTCCCAAGAAATCGATTCCGGCTCCCAAAACATCGATTCCGGCTCCCAAAACGTCGATGTTTTAGAAGAGGCGATTCACGTTTTGTCATCACGGCTTATCAAGGTACTGATTCGTTCACTGGGGTCGATCATCCTCATTATTGGCAAAAGGATGCGTGGGTGTTGGATTAGGTCATAAGAAATGTGGAGATCTTGAAACGACACCAAAATTACAAGCAAGAACACATGGAAGGGCTTTGGTTTCTGGTTTGGTTCTCCACAAATATGGTTGAAAATGGCGAAGAAAAACAAAAAGGTAAGTATCTACGATTTTCTATTTGATCAATAGATAGGTGTTATTGAATGAATCTACGATTTTTGTGGAGAACCAAACCAGAAAACAAAACTCTAAATCTCAAAAAGTCATTTTGAAACAGAAATTAATAGTTTGGTAGGTGTTTTATTGAATGAATCTAAGATTTTTCGTTTGATTTTGCTATCCAGGTCGCATTTATTTCTGTTAACACTTCAAACAAATCATATTCTTCTTCTTTTGCCTGGATCTTGAGAACATGCTTCCCTCTTTTGTAGTCTACCTGATTACTAACATATTTTGTTTCTTTACATGTATTTTTATGTTCTTGTGTAGGAGGATGTGGAGAAAGAATGGCTTAATAAACTTCTATACGGAGTGTTTAGCCTTGACAGCCGGTAGTATGAGCATTTCAACAAGTTAAATATCAATATCATTTCATCTTCTTGATAATCGATCAACTGCAAGGATTGACAAGGTTTTGTATTGCTTTACAATTTGGCTGAATTTTATATTTGTTTTTCTTATTGTTTGTAGATTGCAAAGGTAGTCAATGGCCGTCTGTGTAGAAGGTTTTCTTTCACTGTATTCTCAGTAAACGGTTAAAAAGAACCCCATTTTCACCAAGATCATAAAATCAGCAGCAACAAATGGTGGTCACTCACAAAGCACAGGCATCAAAAATCAAAAACAGAAACAACCCATCAAGAAAAGACCCACCCAATCTCCACCAATTGGTAATTTTCAATTTTTTCTTCAATTTGTTATGTGGGTATGCATAGTTCTTCATATATAAGATGAAACAACAGTCAAGATTGGTAATTTCCAATCCAAAATTCAATTTCCAACACCATTTTTCTTCAATTTCTAATATGGGTATCCATAATTCTTCACATGTAAAATGAAACAGCAATCAAGATTGAGTCTTTTTGTGTTTTAGGGTTATGGGACAGATTCCCAACAGCAAGAACAGTGCAACAAATGATGGACACAATGGAAAGACTAATGGAAGATTCGGTGGTGGCATACGGTGGCGGTGGTGGCAGTCAGTTTGCCGGAGATAGTGCAAACAGTTTCAGTAGGGGAAGGACGCCATGGGAGATCAAAGAAGGTGAAGACGAGTATAATTGTTCTTCTTGAGCACTTTATAGGTAGACATTATTGTGAATCGAAAGGTATTCCCTGTGTAATTAAATGTAAAAGGGTTACTTCCTTTATTCAAATGTAAAATTTAGAACAAAAGGACAATATAATTGGAACCAAATTATTGATTCTAGCTCTTGTAATTTTATAATGCTGATGAGTATCAATAGAAAGTGCTAATTTAAAAATAGGAAACAAGAGCTTGTAATCTTATAATGCCTTTGGTTTTGTTTCATGACATTCATATATGTTTTATGTTCATCTTTAATTTAGACTGGATGGATGTATTCATTATGGAAAATAAAGATGATGGCTTCTAAGGGTGCCTGCCCCCTTCTGTTTATACCAATATCTGATTTTGCCTTTGTTTAGTCAAACATCATTCTTTGTAGCCAATGATTTTCTCCCGATGCAGATGAACGTTTAGGAGCTGATATCATCCAAAAGGTAAAATCATGAACCATAATTTTACACTGTTAGATATTCAGGGGTTTCTGGGCTAAGGGAATATATAAATTCTTGTAGGCACTGGTGGTGGTGATGATGATGAATCTGACAAGTCTAAGTTTAAGGTTAATGATGAGGAGGGCAGTGAGGAGGTATGTTATTGAAGATTCGAAACTTTTCAAGATTCAAATAACGTGTAGTTTTGATTCTGATCAAAGGGTATTTTTTGATGTGTTTATAGGATGAAGATGATGATTGAAATGGGTGCCATGTTATGGTAAAAACCTAAATCTGCCTTGTAGTTTCTTAATACCATTAGCAGAATTGTTKGTAATTGATATGTTGATGTTGGTCATGGGATAGTAGTATTGATTAGACTTTTAGCTATTATGATGCACAGAGAGAACAAATTAGTTTTGTAGTTTTAGGGGYCGTTTACCAAAAACTTACCCGGTAAGCGCTTACCGGTAAAATTTAACACTACCATTAACTTACCGRATAAGTTTTTTGTCCACCAAAACAATACCGTGGTAAGAGTAGCCGCCCTCACTTACCGGGTAAGACTCTTGTTCCTTGTCTCTTACTTACCGGGTAAGAGTAGTCTTTTAAAACCTGCTCCAATGCTCTATATGTTTCCTCATAGATGACAATATGAGTTGAAGAAAGTTTAGAGTTGAAATATTGATTTTTGTTTGATGTCGAAGGTGGAGGCAATGGTTGATAAGACCATTTCTGCATTATCTGGCGTGTTCATTGGGGCTCCGGGATCGACCTTCACAGAGGACATGCTTCGGTTAAACAGAGGGTGGGGAACAACATCAAGATGTGATGAGTATCTGTGTGATGGTGAGGTGCCAAATTTCATATCAGGAGATGAATGAATACTTGTGTATGTAGGGTATGTATAGAGTGCTTATCTTGAAGGTTAAATTAGTAATTGTAACATATGATATGATGTTGATCCTCTCTCTCAGTGATTTGATGATAATCCCTTTTTCCTTTCGATGTATTTTGTGTTTCTGTACTTTCAGTTCCAGCGAT